TGATGAGTAATATTTTAAAAAAAATTTAATTGAATACAAGGCTACAAAGATTTATAATCGATTAAAAGTATTAATTAAGAAAATATAATAAAAATTATTAAATTAAATTCAAATGATGTTTTAAATCTTGTCCCAAATCTTAATATCTTATGTCTATGTGATTAAAGTTGTCAAAATGACTATTTGTTCATGAACGACTCGTGCTCGACTCACTAAGCAAACGAGTAAACACAAACACACTTTTTGAGCTCGAAATATAAATGAACCGAACACGAGCTGAGCTGACTCGCTTATGTTCGGCTCGTTTACACCCCTATTTAATGGTTATATTTTTATTTGAATAAATAAAAAAATTTAGGCTAGATTAAATCAACGACGACTAGCTATTTTTTATTGAAGTTCTTAGATAAATAATCAGTTTCAACAAATTTGGTACCAAATTGAGATCCTTACAACCAAATTTTATTTTATTTATTTATTTATTTATTAAATGTGTACCCAAATGATAATAAATTAATGAAAAATCACACTCTAAATCCCTACTAAAGTTAGGTGGAAATAGGCTCCCAAATTGCGGTACCAAAAACGTGGGAACCTGATTGCGGCCAAATTCATGGATCAGCGCATCATGCATCGGGCGTGGATCAGCGTCCCATGCATCGCGGCCGCATCTAATGGTGCCAAATCACGTGACCTTTCTGTTTGCAGCTGGAAACGCGTCCTGGTTCGTTGAACGTGCGATTGACGCACGCACCTCGCTTTTGGCTTTTGGCTTCAGTCAGGCCACCAAAAAGCTGAGATCTGGTCAGATTTGACATGGACGGAAAACCATCCCGGTTCGGTGAATCTGGAGTTGATTATAAAGGGTTGTTTTTTAAGATTATAATATACAATTTAATGTAGGCTCATTTCCATGTACGTCATATATGAAAAGACCAAACTGCCCTAAGACATATTTGTCACGGTTTGATGCGGAAGGAAAAACCGAAAACGTTTTTCTTATTGAAGATTAATTAAATACGTGGTTTGCTTAATTGAATAATTTAATGCCTGGCATTTTTTCGGATTATGATAATATTCTTATTTAATTGCATCTAATGAGAAATCCTTCCTATTCATCATCATCTAATGAGAAATCCTTCCTATTCATCATTTGACTGAAGCACAAAATGAAAGATGGTTACATTCAAGTTTAAAGATCAATTCTATAAAATATTCTATACATCCTACAAATACTACCTATTTATGACAAGAGACATGTAAAACATAAAGAACACCGTAAAAATCCTTATCATTAAACAAATAAAATCTACTAAACATGTGTTTACAGTAAATACAAGTCAAATAGTAACACGATGCCTAGTTTTTCTCCT